TAGCGATCAGTGTTAACGGTTTCACCAGGTTTTAGCAGCTCATAATAGATTACACCCTTCTGATCCCACCAAACACAGAGCATTGTCTTCTTTCCAAAGCGATTGCAGTGGATGTCGATGGTTGGCCTGTATTCATCCATGATTTCTGACGCTTAAGATTCTCAAAATATATCCATTTTTCATCACCTGTCATGATACGATAGACTTTCTTTTGTATCTGTCGAGCGGCATTTCACAAGTGGTTTTTCGATTTTCTTACTGTCTTTCATTCAGTTCATGCGGAACCCATTTTCCCAATTTCTGAATCTTTCCCATGGCTTTCAAACGAATTGAGACAGTTTTCTGCGTCACATTCAATTCATCCGCGAGTTCTTGTTGAGTTTGAGTATCATCTTCATCCAATAAGGCTTGCAATTCGTTTTCTGCGAACTTTTTTGGTGGTTTTCCACGCTCTTCGTTTCTCACGTCAAAATCACCACTTTTGAATTTTTTGAACCACTCGAAACACTGTGTTTTACCAAGAGCGTGTTTACCGTAAGCTTCTACAAGCATTCAATGCGATTCTGCAGCAATTTTCTTCAAATGATAACAAAAAACCAATGCTGTCCGCAAATCGTAGTTCGTAGGTACAAAACTCGACATGTTTAAGGTTATAGAAAAATATATTACGGTGTATGGAACTTGGGTTGTTGTGTGTTGGAAATCTTCGTCAGCTGTTAGAGGGAGATGATGGCACTGCAGAAGCGGTCTTACGGTCCCTAAACTGATGGCTAGCACCATCTATAGGGAAATTCCAGTTTCATACTTCTAAACCTGGTATATTTTTATTTTGTATTAATATAATTTAATGTAAAATGTAAGTAATCTTTTTCATCGGCAATAGATTAACTGGTCTTTTGTCTTCTAACGAATTATTTATTCTATTACTGTCATTGCTGTCGTTTCCAATTATTTCCTATAAAAATATATATAATTTCGTTATAACGCAATAATGGAATGGTGTGCACAAATTACACAATATTACATGGTTTTTGCACAAGCAAGTGATATATGGTTTCCCGAAGATTTTTCGGCGCTGAAACCGAATTTGGCCTCAGAGTTGCTCTAACACGTCAGGATTTTGAGATATCCTAACCTAAAAGTGCCAAAAACACGGTCTTTGCCTATATTTGAGGTTACGTAGCATCGTAATATATTTTTTTCCAGGAAAACTATATAGAGCATTTCAAAGTGTAAGTCTTGCTCTTTCAAATGCCGTTAAGTTTGCTCAAATATCTTTTTTTTCGCCGAGATATGTAACTTTAAACTTTTTTAAAATGCATGAATTTTACAATGACTATTCCAACAAGAACAAAATAAGAAAACTGTTTCAAAACGAAAGCTAAAAAATAAATTGTATATCAGTGGAAAGGTTATTAAAAGAGAAAATGTAAAGATATATATAACACTAGCATTCATCGCCGCCGCTGAAACATAACCTCAAAAAAGTGATTTTCGTCAAAATAACTTTTTTGTTAGGAACTAAATAATGAAATAAGCCAAAATTTGGTTTGCAACTCCGTTTTGATATAATGAATTTCGTAAACATTTTTGATATTGTAGAATATTAATCTAATTAATTGAAATCGTCCATACAACTTATATAAAAGCTGTGTAAGTGATTTATGCTAAGATGTATCGACAGTGTAAAAATCATCCTAATTGTTTTTGTTACATTTGTGGAGATTACACGGTCAGTAGCGAAAAATGTAATATTACTGAGAATATTAAGCAAGTATATTTTTTATATTTGAAATTAAAACCAAGCAACGGAAAGAATGCATTTACACCTAATTTGTGTTGTCAAAAGTGTAAATCGTCACTGTTAGCCTGGGCGAGAGGTACCGGTAAAGGTATGGAGTTTGCAGTGCCAATTATATGGAGAGAACAAAAGAATTATGACTCTGATTGTTATTTTTGTTCCATTGAAACATACGTTTACAATAAATCGTTAAAACATAAAATAACATACCCTGTAGTAAGTTTTGTTTCAAAACCAATACCTCATGATGTTAATAACTCTGTTCCAATTCCCCTGTTCCTCAAAAAATTGATAAGTCTTCTTCAAATCAAGGTACTAGTGCAGTTGACCACGTGGAGGAGGATGTAGTTGAAGACGAATTTGATAAGTTACAAGATCGTAAACCTCTTTTCGTAAATCAAGAGCGATTGAATGAATTGGTATGTCTTTTGGATCTTGGAAAAGTAAAATCTGAACTTTTAGCTTCACGACTTGATGAATGGAACTTATTAGAACCTGGGACAAAAATCACTCTGTATCGTAACCGACAAAAAGAATACACACCTTACTTTGACATGTCAGAAGAATTATATTTTTGTTCAGATATTGAAGAACTCATGCTTAAAATGAACATTAAACATGATCCAAAAGATTGGAGGCTCTTCATGGATTCCTCGAAATCCAGTTTAAAAGCTATATTACTGCATATTGGTAATGAATATCCCTCTATTCTTATAGGGTATTCTGTTGTTTATAAGAGTTTTATAAAACTATTGAGTTTCTTTTATATAAAATACAATACAAAAAGTATAAATGGCTTATATGTTGCGATTTAAAAATAGTTACACTTGTTACAGGTTTACAACTAGGATATACAAAGTACATGTGCTTTTTATTTAAATGGGACAGTCGTGACAAAAGCTCTCACTTCAAGAAAAGAATTGGCCATTGCGAAAAGCTGACAAAGTTGGTGAATTAAATGTACAAAATGAGGCATTAGTGCAAGGAATAGACATAATTCTTCCTCCATTACACATCAAACTAGAGATAATGAAAGTTTTCGTTAAAGGCATGGATCAAAACGGTCAGGGTTTTTTGTACTTGAAAGAGAAATTTCCTAACCTTAGTAATGAAAAAATCAAGGAAGGTGTATTCACTGGTCCAGATATAAGGAAACTTATACAAGACAAAATCTTTGAAAATAAGCTGAATGTACTTGAGGTGAAAGCTTGGAAAGCATTTAAGACTGTCATTTTTAATTTTTTGGGAAATAACAAAAGTAGTAACTACAAAATACTTGTTGAAAATATGATTGACGCTCTAAAGAATCTTGGATGTAATATGTCTCTTAAACTGCACTTATTACATTCTCATCTAAATTTTTTCCCTGAAAACTTAAGTGATTACAATGACGACCATGGTGAAAGGTTTCATCAAACCATAGCTGCTTTAGAAAAGCGTTATAAAGGTAAGTCAATAATAAATATGCTCGCAGACTACATTTGATGTGTAGTTAATGCAGATGATGGGGTGGATCACAAAAGAAAATCACCAGGAAGTACTATTAAGAGAAAGAAATAAAAACTTATGCAATTAGAAAATGAGTTTTAAAAAAAACTAAAAAAAATTCTTAAAAAAATAAAAAAAACAAAAAACAAAAACACAAAAAAGGGATGTAAACTCCTACTAACAACCTCCACGCGGTACATTCTGGGATACAATTAGAAAACTAATGTCAGTGGTAAATCATATAACTATAGATGAAAGAATGGAGATTCGAATTCGGTCATTTGTAGAATTT